ACTTTTCTTAGTGGAACAACAGAGTGACATGTAGATGAAGCGCAGGAAGATGACATTATGGACGCCATTACTATAAACCCTACAATAAGCACTAGACAAGTAAGTCGAGAACTCAATGTTACTCAATCAAAAGTAAGTAGAGTCTTACAAAAAAATAATCTATACCCATATCACATTCAAATGGTTCAGCGACTACATGCTGGAGATGACATCGATATGTTGGAATTTTGTAGATGGATTAACAATAATCGACCAAGGCTATACAGGACACTATTTACAGATAAAGCCCAATTTGTCAGAGACGGGATAAATAATTCACAAAATTCACATGTGAGGGCAGAAGAAAATCCCCATGCTATTCGAGAATGTCGTTCTCAGTTAAGGTTTTCGGTCAACGTGTGGATTGGTGTCATAAGTAACCAATTAGTAGGTCCTCACTTTTTTAATGGTCCTTTAACAGGGCAGGTCTATTTGAACTTTCTACAAAATATACGAAGAATGTTGCGTTTCGATTTAATTTGAGTCTCTTACCACTCCCTGACACGTGTTTCTGGGTCTACCCGTCATCAGAAGGAGTTTGTAAGAAGACTTAAACCAAATCAAAACGCACCGATTACTCTGGCAATTACATGAAAATAACTACCAGAGTATGCAACTAGAGACCTCTAGTGAGGCAAGTTGAAGATACGTCGATAGCAATTTCGAAAATATCGTCGTTTTCTACAAAATATTTTGCCGAATTTGCTTGCCAACGAGAACGTTGCTATCCAAGGGATGTATTTTTAGCATGATGGGGCACCCCCACACTTTTTACTGGCAGTGAGACAACATCTCAATAATGTTTATGGCAACAGGTGGATAGGACGTGCAGGTCCTATTTCGTGGCCTTCAAGATCCCCTGATTTCAATCCCGTTGAAAACCATATTTGGGGACAATTAAAGCAACTAGTTTACGCAGTGAATATTAATAACTGACAACAATTAATTGATAGAATTATACATTGTTGTAATACTGTTAGAAACGATCCCCAGAGTATCCGTAATTTAATATGTCAATTAACAATTCTGCACCAAAAATTAGTACAGGCTGCAGGGTTCCATTTCGAAAATCCGTTTTGAATTATTTTTATTTTGTTACCATTATTGTATCTTTTCCAGTTCTAATTTATGGGTTTATCATAACTATGTACATATTTTTAATTTTTTTTTAAATTGTTCTTCGTTATTATTAGTAGTTACTATGTGCAGTAACTCAGTTTATCATTTCAATTAAAATGTTTGAAATTTATAACATATGTTTAAATTAATTACCTTATAATTTGATACTTTATTATGGTTGTTCTATTTTTGGTAAGATTTGATCGTTCACTAAAAAGTTAATAAAAGTGCGACAACATTGTCGCATATGTCGTTTTCATTGGCTATTTATGTAGTTTAAAAATCAATTATTGCATTTAAAAAATATATATACCGGGTGTAATATTTAATACGAATCCCTAAATTAATTTTTCCAAAGCCAGTCCTGGAATTTTTTAGTTTAGCTAATACCAGCCGAATGCTTGATAGTAGTGTACTGTATCGTGCAAAAATGAAAAAATCAAACGAGCCGTATAAACACTACAGTAAAATGAAATTAATAAAGAAGAGGAGTTGACTTTTTTTAGTGGCCACATGATATGCTCCCTGAGTTACTCCACATATGGTAGAAGTATGTAAAGTTCTTCATGATTCACCCTGTATAACAAATTAACGGACACTTTCGTGTTATTCATTTACAAAAGAGATTGCTACAAAAATTCTTGAAATGGTTCCTAGGTTATCATATGGCCAAATTAGATTATCAAAAAAAACTTATGAATATCCTTTTTATGAAAATACTGTAGAATTTAACCTTATATATGAAATTTTTTTTATATATAATAATTAAATTGAAATTGTTTTACAACAACAATGGATTAGAGCAAATGTCATATGTCAACATAACATTTTAAATCAGAATAAAATATGACATTTTTTTAGCTACGATCATAACATAATATAAAACTTTAATTATTACAAATTCTTTTATTTTAATGAAAGCAATTATTAAAAATGTCTATATAACTTGGAAAACATATTGAATTGTTACCTTAATTCACATTTAAACTAAACTTTGAAAAAGAAAAAACTCCATCTCCGGGGAAGCTACTTGGAGATATTTTTTAACAGGAACAAGTAAACTATTTCCTTACTCAGGAACGACGATCAAATCAGGCCTGGAGGAGGAGCAAAACAGACCACAGGGACATTCTTTATACCAATTTCATCAATCTTCGATATCTGTACAAATCTTCTAATGACTCAAAAAAAAAATAGAAATATTGGTGACTCTTTTCTAAACTGACATATTACATAGAGTCTACTATTTTCAACCAATTATGCCGGTTTCTTTACCGACAAACTAAAGCGTCTTCTCAGTTTCAAATCTTTTCTTCGACTCTTTATCTGCGTTACATTTTACCTATTCGACGCCACACCATTTCCCCTTCACGTCTCCGTAGCTAGTTTGTGGTCTACCTAAACAAACAATATTACCCCTCGCTCGTCCTTAACAACCTCGAAACAACCAAAACAACCTTTTTTTTTCAACCGGAATATTGGGAAACTGGGTATACAAATCGTTTTCAATAACAAAAAACATCTTGAAATATATACTTCTAAATTGGGTAAAAATAACACGTATTTATTGATTATTCTAGCGTCCCTAATTTTAAATTGGAGTTTCTACCTGACATTGTAACAAAAAAAATACAGATTTCTTGGTAATTTCTACGCATATTGACGAGATAAAAAAACAGGGACGTACTACAAAGATTTAAAACCGAATTTATATTATTATATAGACATTAAATATAAAACGCTACACTATTTATGTCTTCTATATTGCATGGTCTTCTTATGTTTTTGCTTCTTTCCCTATTCAACAGACTTTTCCCTGATATTCGTCGAAGTATTTTCAGTTCTCTTATTTCTAGTAGTCATCTAGTTTTTAAAATGCATTATCATGCATGAAAATTATATTTTTTTTCACTGCACTTTTTTAGAATCTAACTAGAGGCATTAGAAATAAATCAACATTCCTGCGAGATATTATTAACAATATTAAGTGAGGTGAATGGAAATTAAAGGAGTTTTTTCACTGACCTTATTACTTCCCCAGAACATAACACCTCCTCCTTTATGTCTGTGAACAGATCTGGCAATTTCCGTTCTTGCTTGTCTTTTTCACCCTCTAAGTACACGAATTTATTGGTTATATGATTTTGCACAAATCCTGGTTTCGTGTTAACATAGAACATTTTGTCAATTTTTATTGTTCCAGTTTTGGTATTGAAGAAACCAATTAAGGCGATTAATCTTATGCAGCCTGGGAACCCGTAACTTTCTACTGCTACGTAGACTTTGGGCACGAAGTCTTCTTTCTCGTGCATCATTTCAACTGAAATACTTACACATGTACCTTCCAAAAATTGCTTTAAGAGTTGCGGGTGATAAAAGTGTTGTGCCCCTTCTAGGTACTTGTACAATAAAACGATCGTGGCAAGCCGTTGTTACTATTTGGCGATTTTAATAATATAATAACATAAGGTATGCTGATGACGACACTGTGATTCTAGCAAGTAGCATGCAAGAACTGAGTTGCCTAATGAGTAAGATACAAAAGACAAGTGCACAATATGCACTCAGACTAAATATCACAAAAACCAAATGAATTTTAGTAAGCAAAACCCAACAACCACCACAGCAACTGATATTAGACAATGAAAGAATTGAACACGTGGATTCGTACATCTACTTGGGAACAACAGTTAACTCAAATTGGGATCAAGCGAAGGAAATACGTATAAGAGTAGAAAAGGCAAGGGCATCGTTCACTAGCATTAAGCAAATTTTCACCTCTAAAAGCCTCACCCTACCTCTCAAAATTCGACTTCTGAAATGTTATGTATTCCCGGTTTTGTTATATGGAATGGAGGCGTGGACAATGACCGCAACATTGATGAAAAAAGTAGAGCCTTCGAAATGTGGGCTTACCGACGTATATTACGTATATCCTGGACTGAGCACGTGACCAACGAAGAGGTACTACGCCGGATAGGTAAAGAGAGAGAGGTAGAAATAAGTATAAAGAGAAGAAAGTTGGAATACTTGGGTCACGTTATGAGACATAATAAATATAGAGTACTACAGCTGATCGTTCAAGGAAAAATAGACAGCAGAAGGGGTCCAGGGAGGAGAAGACATCCGTTGCTCCAAAACTTGCGGCAATGGTTCGGATTGTCATCTGCTGAACTATTCAGATCTGCCGTAAACAAAGTCAGAATAGCCATGTTGATTGCCAACGTTCGGAACGGACAAGGCACATGAAGAAGAAGATCTTTGTCTATTCTTAAGCGTTTCTAATTCCTGATACCTAGATACCTGCATAGGTTTTTAACACAACGACTTGTGTTACGCCTACTTGTCCCTCTGATGCATTATTTGCTCCACAAGACCAATAAGCTCTCCCTTTTGCATATCCGTTAATCCTACATAAGGCAAATTTTTGGTTTTGAAAGCGAAAGTTAGTTTATTTATTTTCGTTCAATTTCCAACTAAAACAATCTATACCGTTCTGGGCTGTGTTATCTAATTGTTTTGTTGGTTTGTTTGTTTTCAATAAAAACCTTTATTATTTGCAACAATAAAAAGTTAAAAAAAAAAACATTTTTAAAGTTGACATTAAAAAATTTATGTCAATCTAAAAAATCGTCGATAAATATTTCCAATATGAAACAATCAATAGGAAAAATTATTTAAAACTAATAAAATGAATGGTATTTTACTAAGTTTCTCTATAATAGTTTCTAACAGTTTATTTAAAAGGTGTCTAAACCCTACTACAAATTTATCATAGGTACTATTGTAAATGTCTTTATAACAAATAACGTGTCTTGTGTTTAACACTACTCATTTTTCAGAATTACATTCGTGGAACATATTTCTATTTGTTACTGGATTATGTCCCTTTATTGCGGGAACCATATTTACTTTTCTGTCCGAAAGTCCTAAATTTTTAATGACGTCAGGAAAAAATGAAAAAGCTCTAAAAGTATTGCAAAAAGTTTATAGTAAGAATACAGGAAATTCACCAGAATCTTATCCGGTAAGTATATTTAAAATACTTGCTAATACTAGTAAGAAGCTATACTTTATTTATTAATGGTTGACAGTATGAAAAACGGTTAGAGGTAGGTATATAAAGGCTCGGGCAAATAGAGGCTAGGGCAATATCTATGTGATAATGTTCTCATTAGATTAAGTTTATTATTACAGATCAATATGATTTGCATAATGTGTTCTTTTCAAGTAAGTTCAGGAAAAGAAAATGTCAATTTTCAATTTAGATAAAATAGATTTTGATTACTAATAACGAACTTTTACGTAAGATAAAAGTAGTATTTTTTATTACTAAATATTTTATTGGCAAAAGTTTGGTAAGTTTAAATTTTGAAGGAGTTTGGCCCTTTAACATTAGAAAGTCGGAGGGGCCAATTTGGCCCCTGTTGCGATTTGAAGTTATTGTAGTTCTTTTATTTGACACAATAATAATTTCATATTTTATGACTTTTAATATTTTGATACAAAGTTTTATGTAACCCAAAAAAATATTGTTTACTAAATATATTAAATGGATTTTCTAACAAACCTACCATAGAAGTCTGAAGGGGCCAAACTGGCCCTGTATTAATTATTATCGTTTTCTCGGAAATTTGACGATTTCTTTTAACTTTCTGTCGAATAGATAAAATTATGTTTGTGTACGTTTATTCCTAGAAGGTATTTTGTTACATACTGTTTGTTCCTTGAAAGTATTTTGTTTATTGAGCGGTTTATTAGGTTCTGCTGACTCTCGTTTCTAGAATATTCAATAATATTGAAACATTCGTTCAATTGTGAAAATTCAAGACGACTGTAAATATGTCTCGTCGTGAACTATCAGAGTTTGAACTTCTTGAAGAAATACGAAAAATACAAGAAGATGTTTCGGGAGGTGAATCTGAATTTGCAGACAATAATAAGTCAGAGGATAAACAATACGTACCGCAACAAAGTAACGATATAAGTGACTCTGATGCATCAGAGTGGTTAGAAAGTTTTATTGTACAGGACTCACCAATTTATGTAAACACTGTTTCTACAACTCAAGACCACGAGTCAGCTAATTTTATCGTGAATCCAAGTGCATCTAAGCCAAGTCACAAGAGAAAAAGAAGTCAACAAAGAAAAACTATTTCAATCGGAGACACCGAACAATCGAAAGACGGAACAACGTGGATAGTCATTGATTTTGGATCAGTACCTTTATGATCATATATCAAGATACTGACAGAGAATGTAGCGTAGAATCTTTAAGTAATTTTAAACTGTTTGTCCTCGTTTTAGTGTAGTGTTTTGTACAATTTTATGTCTTTATTAATGTTTCCATATTCTACGCTTGCCGGATAGTTTACATTTTGACGAAATGCCCCTGAAGATGCTATTTTAAGCGAAAGTACATGGGCTAGATTTAATTAACTTGTGCTCGATAATAGTCTTATTTTCAAAGTTCATATAACTATATGTTCACAAACACGCACACATACTCACACACCCATGTATATATAGACGAACAAATATTATAATATATATGTATAATAATAAAATCCTAGCGCAAAAAATGTATTGATAACAGCGCGCAATTCTGCGTTTTATATTGTGTCGCCCCCTACAAAATAGTAAAATCGGTGGTAAATAAATTCAGAATAGTCATTTTTTATGCAAAATTTTACGTAGAATTCTAATTCGTTGTCAGAAAACCTCTAAAAGTTATTTGGAAGCTGAAAAAGGAAGGAAAAGCGCTAAAAAGACGGGAAAATTACGTTTTTTTTGGAGTTTTATAGGCCGCAGCTGCTTCAAATATATAAAAAGGATTTCTGAGACAACTTTTATTCGAAAGTACTTGTATTAAGGCGTCCCTTGTAAAAATTTGAAAAAAATAAAAAGGGGTGCTTTTGAGATATGAATTTTTCAGAAAAAGCGCTTTGTTTCGCATTTTGTGGCTTGACGTCATATGGCAATTCTGACACCGAGATCGTGTTCAGCGGGAAACTTTACATTGTAAAACATATAGTGGTTATTTGTTTAAGTATATTTAGCTCGCTGTACTCAAAAAATCGGCGAAACATGAAAAAAAAAAATTGGTAAAAAGCGTGAAACTTCAATAGCGCGCCACGGCCGCCATTTTGAATATTAAGGTCTGAAAATTTGACTATCATGTTTTTTTGTCTATTAAAATATTTGTGTAAAATTTCAGCCAAATCGGAGAGGGTGACCCCATCGATTTGTGTCGATTACTGCTGGAATTACCCTAATTTAGCATTATAATTTTAACGTTTCTATGTTTTTTGTTGAATTATAATTGAAGATAATATTTAATAATCCTGACTATTTAAAACATCCCTATAAAGAAAATGAAAATGGGTCACGCTTGACCCATCATCGTAATCTAAGTAAGTAAAATAATCTCCGTACTCCGAAGGTTAATCGTACTCAGGTCCAGATATTAAAAATACAATCATCATTACTTTATCTATTTATTTAAGTAAAACAAAACTAAGTGGAAACAAAAATAAAACTTACAATGAAATCTAAAAACGAATTCTACATTTTAGCGTAAAATAATTAAGTATCTCAGTCCGTTTGCCATGACGTTTGCATACAGAGCTTAAGCTTGTTGTTTTGGCAAGAAAAACAGTTTAAAGGCATTACGAAAGAGCCAGCATTTAGTAGAATATGCGAGCTAAGCCCTGATTACCCCGTTTTAACTATTTTTAGAGTAGTGTAGGTGGAATATGCCGCAAAAGAATTATTCTAATATGATTATAGTCATGTTTAGCTGTATATTGTGCAGCATAATGAATTTTATTGCTGTGTAAACGTTGAATTTTCAATTTCATTTCCATGGTATCTCGAGATGAAAGAGTTTTTATCTCGAAATTTTAAAAGGTAAATTGTTATTATGTAAGGGTTGTATATTTTATTTTTATTAATGTTTTTTAAATACCATTTAATTGTGTTTACCATATTGCTCCATTTGTGCTTTTAAATATGTCAATGTTATTTCTTTATATTTTGTTTTGAAGAGTTAGTACAATATTCGCTGGAAAAGAATAGGGAATATACATAATGTGGTAGTATTATTGTACCACATTATTACAGGCAAACGCAGTCCAGGACGAAGAAGAACCTTATGGTTGAAGAACTTGCGAGACTGGTATGGTGTAGATACAAGCATGCTATTTAGGGTGGCAGGGAATAAAATTAAAATAGCTATGATGGTAACCAACGTTCTGAAAGGACATGGTACATGAAGAAGAAGATTATTGTACCAATACACAAGAAAGGAAAAAAGTAATCATGCATAAATTACAGAGGAATCTCACTAATCAACACTACATATAAAATATTAGCTTCGGTTTTATTAAAAATATTAGTACCATACGCCGAAGAAATAGTTGGTGACTACCAGTGTGGTTTCAGACCTGAAGTATGCTTAAAAAGTATTGGTAAATCCTTGAAAAGTATTGGGAATATAATCACGACGTGCATAAGATTTTTATAGACTTCAAACAGGCTTATGATTCAATTAATCGTACAGCATTATGGAAGGCAATGATCGAGCTCGGCGTACCCAACAAACTAGCTGCCGTAACACAAATGTGTGTAAGTAACTTTTTTGCACAAGTTAGGATAGGGGAAAAAATATTAAATGCTATCTGCGTAAATTATGGACTGAGACAGGGAGATCCGTTGTCTCCATTGTTGTTTAACCTGGCTTTAGAATATGTCATGCGAAAAATATATCCAAAAATCAAACCAGACATAACTGCTCGGGAGCAAAAATCATACTCACCTTTGCCGATGACGTAGACGCAGTAGCACAATCAATATTAGAAATTAAGGATATTTTCTCGAGCTTTAAAGAAGCTGCATTAAACATCGGTCTAAAAATAAATAAAGACAAAACAAAATACATAGTCGTCTCAAAACAAGAACGACGGCGAATAAGGCAAAACATTACAAAACATTAGGTTTGTTCTAGCATCAGTTTCAAATGGTTTGAAACCATCAGCGAATAGTGGACCAGTGCGAGTAGAGGGGATATAGCACTGGTGACTGTATTATTTTCTCTCGCTGACCAACTGTTTGCTGACGGTTTCTGACTAGTTTGTCTGTTTGCTAGAACAAACCTATTATAATAGCAGGAAACAGATCTTTCTTTGAAATGCAACATCTAATGAAATCAAAACTCTATTCACGAGGTACAAAAATCTGAATATATAAGACCATAATACGACCAACAGTCGCGTATTTAAGCGAAACATGGACGCTAACAAAAAGAGAAGTAAATAAATTTGGTGTGCTGGTTTGAGAACAAAGTAAATTAAATGATTCATTTGTGCCGGAATCATTTAATTTACTTTGTACCACCAGCCTGATGATGCTTTGCAAATTTTAGAAAGCGAAACCGATCGTCTGAGGTAGTAAAATTAAACTGATTGTGAGTAAGTTTAATTATTTCTTTATTACCTTTTTACAAGTTATCTTACACCAAGATAGGTTTAGAAACAGTGAAGGCAGTACAATTGTACAAATATTTGGGATGTCAGCTAAATGAAAAGCAACCTTTTTTAAGAAATCAAAAGCAAAATGGGACAAGAGAAAATATCACTTGAGAAGGTGCAAAATATATTAACCAACAAAGCGTTTATTTTGTTCTTATAACTTTATTATCTTTAAGTGTCTAGCCACTTGAAGATATGGGGAGTACCGCCAATATGGCATAAGGATTAAGGATTCTTATCAATTTTAATTATTTAGATAGGGATTACTCGTAATTTAGACAAAATAAAAATTAAAATCCAAAGAAAGGTAGTAGTAAAGATAACTTAATATGATGATACAGATGGGAGGCTTAGCAAGTTTTTCAAATTTATTTACATTAATAAATTGCTAGTACAATACATTATTCGTTATTCTCTCTTGTCGTTTCCTCATTGCTGAGGATCGTGATTCCCTACAATGCGGGCTGTCAATTCTCTCTATCTCTTGCGATTTTGGGCTGCTCTCATGGACTCGGAAAACGTCTCTCCAGCTTTCTGTACTTGATCTGACCATCGGATAGGTGAGCGTCCTCGGCCTCTACGTCCTTCTACGTTTCCGCACACAATTAGTCTTTCTAAGTTGTCATTGTCTCTTCTCGCAATGTGGCCAAAAAACTTTAAAACATTTGCAAGACACTGAGAGGAGAGTCTAGTCTGAATGTTTAGCTCTTCGAGAATCGACTGATTGGATCTGTGCTCCGTCCACGAGACGCGTAGCATTCGTCTCCAGCACCACATTTCGAATGCGTCAATCCTTTTCCTATCCTCTGATTTTATTGTCCATGTTTCGGCACCGTAACTAAAGATTAAAAAAACGAGTGTCCGTACCAGTCTCATTTTGAGTTTTTTGGACAAAGAGCGGTCCTTCCATATTTTTGACAGTCGACTCATCGCGTTCTTGGCCATTCCTATTCTTCTGCGAATTTCCGTATGGCAGGAGGCTGCATTGCTTAAGGAAGATCCTAGATACGCGAACTCGTCTACTTTCTCGAATTGATTTAGGGCGCCTGTTGTTTGGAGGATATTCGCGTGGTCCACAATCATGATTTTTGTTTTCTGATTATTAATCTTGAGCCCACACTTGTTGTTTTCGGTTTCTACTCTCTTTATCAGTCTCGACATCTCCTCTTCAGATGTTGCTATCAGTGTTGTATCGTCTGCGAATCTTAAGTTTGAGATCTTTTTCCCTGCAATGGAGATGCCGCCTCTCCATCCATCGAGTGCGTTTCTCATTATGTATGCTCCATATAAATTGAACAGGTCTGGAGATAGTATGCAGCCTTGTCGTACACCTCTGCTAGTTTTGAAGGTATCAGATTGCTGGTTTTCAATTCTTATTTTAACTGAGTTATCTTCGTATAAGTTTTTAATTAATATTGCCAAATGATCTGGAACTCCCATCTCATGAAGAACTGTCCAGAGAACTTCCCACTTTACACAATCAAATGCCTTTTGGTAGTCTAGAAAACAGATTATTATTGGAATTTTAAATTCGCGGGCCTTTTCTATGAGCTGCCGCATATTAAGGATTTGCTCTCTCGTACCCTTCCCTTTGACAAAGCCTGCTTGTTCTTGGGGAATTTGGTTGTCTAAGTACTGTTGCAAACAGCGTTTAATGATTCTTAGTAATATTTTGCTTGTATGGGAAATCAGTGAGATGGTGCGATAATTACTACACTTTGTAGTTGTTCCTTTTTTATGGAACAACTACAAAGGGATTTTGGATTTTTTTATGGAATTTTATTACAAGTAATAAAATTTGGAGATTCGTTATTAATAGAACCTTATCTTACTTCCTAAATATTATTTTAGCAATACTGCTTTAACCCATGCATTTTTATTATAATTTCATATGAAACCAGTTAAAAATTTCAGATAAACTGACATTGCAGGTTAAAGAATTGGTGCAAGAAAAAGAAGTTATTGAGTTAACAGACGTGGATCCAAAGCCAAAAGTTAAAATCATAAATGGTGGAATATCCAATATCGGTCTATTATTTAAATCTAAATATATATTAAAGTTTGCACTAATATCGGCTATACAAGTTACATTTATGGCAAGGTAAGTAGTTTAATCTCATAAAAACATATTCAAATTAGTAAGACCACTTAAACACATCACTCCTGTCACTTTATCCAATCACTGTAAAATACATCACTCGAAAGTTCGACTATGCTATTTTGTGTTCTTGGTCCTTTCTCTTCAACGTTCTCCTTACATATCTCTGAGCTGCTTTTTACCAATCTGATGACCTAAGCATCTTCTAATTGCACAGTACTTTTTAGCTCTCTCTTAAGCAGGCTCCTCTTATCTATTCATCTATCGCATACTAATAGAGTGTATGAGACAGCGTCTGATATTTCACAATACAGGCATTTCTAATTTGCTGCCTTTCCAAATCTGTAAAGGTATACCATGAAGTAACCATGCCTTTTGAGCATCTACGCCAGAAAGTAATCCATTTCCCGGTGCCCGGAGAACACCCATCTTCTCAGATTAGGAATCAGCGACTTCGTCCACTGCTCCATCCTTCTCATCTCGTCTCATTGCTCTTGCCACGCCATTATGGACCCCTCCCTTTCTTTTTTTTGGTTCTGTTGCTATGTCTTTATTTCTTCTCTCATATATTCTTCCTCTTTTGTTCACTAGCACGTGCAGCGGAAACTCCCAGCGCCTCGGTAGTGACTGTTCTGTATGCACATGTCACCATCAATAGCCTCTTCCTGTCTGCTCGGGTGAGCTGCTTTCTGTAAGCCTTTGTTAAAACTGCAGTATTTCAGATAGACACAGCCAAGAAGTGGATTGATTGCACAACAGAATCAACCCAGAATCAATCTCCACCACTTCTTTTTCTACCACAACATTATGCAATCATACTTCAACTTTATTGCTATTATCGAAGTTCGAAGACATAATGTTTTTGTCTAAGATTTGCGAATCCGAACAAGCAAAAGAAATGTACGTGAGCATACCTCATGAAATGAAGATAAAAAAAAACAACAAATGAACTGTCAATTCAAATCTTGAGGAATTGCAGCCTGTTAGATTGATGAAACGTTTGGCTCAGAAAAGAAACTCGCCTGGACTTTAATGAATTTTTTCCATAAAAGACTGACACTGACTGATGTTTTTCTATTTTTTACAAAAACTGTTTGTTTAATTGCTTCAGTTTTAAGTAGTAGTTTTAAGTAGTAAATAACCATACAGAAAAAAATTATTTTATTTGATAAGGCTCTTAAACATTAGGTTTCTTTTAAAAACGTAATAAATACTATTAAGAAATTAAAAAAATAATATAAGAAACGGGAAAAGAGATAAACATAAAAAAATTTTTTCAATAAACACTTAGTATACTTGTATTATAGTACTGCAAAGTCGAAACAATAAAAATGATATTTTGTCACAGTGAAAATCTGCGATTCTTTATAATTTAAAAGAGCAGTTTTTTTAATACTGGTAATAATCCAACAATCGGCATTGTGTATAGACTGTACCAGCTTTATACACACCCAAAACACTTAAAAGGAACTGTAGTGCATAAGTCTCGATTGAACATCGATAAGCAATTTTGTTTTACACACGGAATTTGAGCTTTTCCACTACAAAACCCATTTGCAATATCAAAGTGTGAAAGTAGAAATTGGGCTGTGAACGATTCATCGTGAAATAGAATTAAAGGAAGCGCAAGTATCGATAAAGCTTGGCAATCAAATAAAATGTTATGATAGTTGAAAATAGAGTGGGGTTTCTTAATTTTAATTGATATTTATGTCCTATTTTCTCGGATATCGAACAGTGATTTATATAGATTCTTTTATTCATGAATTTTAGTTTTGCGTACCAACACAAAATAGAATCACACAATAATTTTAGAAAACTATAATTTTTACGTCACTTATGTTTATTTTTTTTAGTTTAAATATGTTACGATTGTGGACACCACAATTATTTCAAGCTTTAGAAGATTACAAAGTTGTAAATAATGGTTCTACGTCAGATTTATGTACAATGTTATCAGTTTTACGACCAAATCCTATGACGGATTCGTGTTCCTCAGTAAGTATTATTAGGGTTAAATAATATATCTTTTTATATAGACATACTAAAGTTTTGCTATGTTTAACCTTTCTCAACTGGTGATCATGTTAAAGACGTGGGTACTCGCGCTTAGTCTGTTAGACCCGACGCCATTATTACGTATAACATAAGTACCCACCTAAAAAATATTAGAAAAAGTGCAAAGAGACCTAATAATGCTCTGAATTTATGTTATGTTTGTGCACTTTTTACCTCGGGATGTTGAAAATAATTCATGTCTGGACTAAATCATTTTGTTAGTGTTCTGGACAAATATTCGAATACATTAAGTATTTGGAAAAAAATTAAGTGCTTACTTAAATGATTTATTTTTTATTTTTTCCAATATTTTAATTATATTGCCTTTTTCATTGTGTTTGTCATCATCTTTAAATTTCTTCCTTTAATTTAAACCGACATCTCTCTGTTTTATGGAAGCTGCAATATGAGAACCGCGTACGAAAAGTCATTACTTTTAATTTCAAACCGTCTATTTTGGGTTTATCAGTAAACTCTTTAGTGTTTTTCCTTTTTTTAATTCGATAAGACTGATATTTTGACTAGTTTTCACGCGTTTTCTTGACTTATAATAAGCTTAAACAATTTCGTCAAAAGTGGCAAAAGATGCGCCGTTCAACAAAAAGAACAGTAGCTATGCCAACATGACCACAATTCAATCAATCTCAGCGTAATGTGCGTAGAACGATGCCCGATAAAAACACTTTCCTTTAGCACCTGAGACGAATCCCGAAATTTCTTAAACCCCTTTTACCTGCAGCCATTGCTGCTGCTACTCGCGTTGCCCACTGTCCGGCCAGAAATAATTCCACGGCAGCATTTAAGAATTACTGTTTACATACAGTTACCGCAATGCTGCATCATGGTGGATGACAGCAATTTATCGCAACAAAACGGTGTAAGTCTTTTATTTGGATGACTATTTGAAAATGGCTTCATTTTATATGACAAACTTTTTCAATGAACTGACTCGTGAGACTTTTTAACTTTTGCAGAATGTCTTGCATAGATTTTGAATTTTTGCTTCGGAAAATTGAGCCCATGAACCAAATGAGCTGGAAAATCTCATCGGCACATAGTATATTTTTTTTAAATTCACGTTATTGGTTATTGTAGCAGTTTCCACAAATTATGATTTTTGACTATGAGTTCTGTGTTCAAGAGCCATAACCTTACCATAGAAACAAAAATAGGAATCCTTAAATGTTATGTGTACTCAGTGCTTCTGTACGGAGTAGAAACGTGGACATTAAAGGCGGAAACTCTATCAAAACTTTAGGCTTTTGAGCTATGGTCATACAGAAGGATCAAGATACCATGGACAGACAAAGTCGCCAATGAAGAAGTACTGCGGAGAATGAACACAACTGCGGATTTAGTCAACATCGTAAAGAGATCGCTAATGAGAAATCAAGACAGATACGAGCTACTTCAATGCATTTTACAAGGAAAAATTAAAGTAAAAAGAGAGCATGGTATAGAAAGACCTCAACACAGCTATTTCGTATAGCAACCAACAAAGTCATCATAGCCAGAATGATCGCCAACGTTCGAAACGGAAAGGCACGCCAAGAAGAAGAACAAGATTGATTTTTTGTTGTTTCGGTGCTAACTTCACACAAATATTTTACACTGATCACAAATTGTTTTTACTTTTGAAGCAAAGCTTCTATACTGGCATTGTATTACTTTTTTTACTTACAGTAAAAAGCTGAGGCGAGCGTCACGGAACTAGCGCCACAAGGTGACGTATGGCATCGTCACAAGTAGCGTCATAGAATAGCGTTTCCTGACATCGATTCACTATACTCGATTAATTCGTTTCTAGTTTTCATATATTTATTTTAAGCAAGTTTAAATTAAATACTTCATAAAAATAACTAACACAATATACACCATCAATGAGAATTAAAAAATGAAAAAAAAAATCTGTCACTAAAAGATTCGATTCGTAACGATTGTCAAAATTTAATAAAAGTCATAAATGCCATTTGAATAATAACAACATATAATCATCTGTTCAACATATTTAGTTTAAATATTAATTAAATTTACTATCAAATGACATTTATTTATATTTTATTACTAATAGTTGGGCCAGATTTGACAGGTTAGTCATTAGCAAATAACGTATGCTTTGTTAATATGTTAACAGGTGGTGTTATCGTGGTCTGACGGACTAAGCGCCACTGCAAGGTTAATTTTAAAAAATAATATATTATTTTATTGTCTGTAGATATCTTTCTCTAATTGTATGATACAAGAATTGTTTTTAGAATGTTGCCAAACCAGATGCTTATTTTCATTCTATGATTGTAGCAGCAGTGGGAGTTGTTAGTTATATACTTACTGGATCTGTAATTCATAAACTAGGAAAGAAAAATCTTTTAAGTAAGTAGATTCGTAATCATGTAATTTTAGTACTTTTATATTGCTTCCATTTTATTAAAAATCATCAATCGTATTAGCGGTATCATAATGTATTTAATTGTAAGGATAATTGAATGAGCGTGAAGGGAAAGCGGACATGTCACAAAAATTAAGTTAGCGGTGAATAAGTAAAAACTTTTTGTATTGAAAACTTTCTGGTAGTTATCACAAGTTTAATTATCACTGTATAAAGTAATCAACCAATGATGTTTCCAGTGAAGATGACTTTCTTTCCAGTCTTGATGTTCTAGCACTTCTTCTCAAATAATCCATTTCAGCTGCCAAGAATCTTCTCTTCAGGTCTGCATTAACTGTCCATAGTTCAGAGCCATAACAAAGAAATGATTCAACCATGGTTTGCCCCATAATATCGCCAATATTTGCCGTTATCACCATAAGGAGTTCAGACATCCTAAAATTTTACATCCCTGATTAATTCCTTGCTTAATTTCGGTTTCTCCTAAGACGTTCTTATCAGTGCATCTAAATATTTAAATTTTTCCATTTGTATGATTTCTACGTTTTCGTCAATCAACACTTCAAACTTTGCATTTGAATGGATAATTGATGATTGCAAACTCACAAAAATGTGAAAGAACACTGATATCACAAAAAGCCACAAAATAACGCTTTGTTCGAGCATTGATATTTCCTATCGCCACCTATGCTTTAGAAACTTGAGCAATAAAAAAAGCCGCTTCAAAGCGTATAAAGGCATTTGAAATTTGGGTATACCGTAAAATATTGCGCATATTCTGCGGTATACCCATGGACCGCCCATCGCATAAATAACTCAATTTTAGAAGAATTTGATATAAAAACTAGAGTTGTCACAACTATTAACCAAAATATACTGAAATATTTTGGATATAGAACTAGAAGAAGAGAAGGCATGGAGCGAATGCTGGTTGAAAGTAACGATGCAGGTAAAAGATCCAGAGGAAGATCTTCAGTACGATGGTCGAACCAAATAAAGGAGATGAGTGGTTACTTAAACCACTCATCTCCTTTGCGAGTGATTGAAATGGAACTGGTCGGGGCATGTTGCTAGATTAAACGATGGAAGGTGAACGAAGAAAATTCTGTAATGGAAACCTAGACACAATGCTTATCGTAATTGAGGAGGTCCTCCAACAAGGTGGTCAGATGACATCAAGCGCATTCAGCACAACTGAATTTAGGGTGCTCAATATAGAATGCACTGGAATTATTTAAGCGAGGCCTATGTCCAGCAATCGACTCAAAACGCTAATGATGATTTAATAATTAATATTAACATGTGAATAAGAAATCATAAAATATCTTGGATAAAGAAATCTTATCCGACTAGGCTAAAGATTTCAATAGATGTTTTAATTTCTTTTTTTAATCGAAACTCTAACTTGAGGATAGGCCAAGTTGACAGACAGTTACTCTACTTTGGTGGGTGTAGAAATATCAAATGTATGGTCAACAATTCGATTAATAAATTCAGAAGCAACAATTTGATTTTTTTACCTGCGAGTTACAAGAAAAATGCATAAATTCGCTGATAAAAAGAAACTTTTTGTTCTTTGTGAATATACCTTCCTAGTGACCACCGTGTGATAAAAAATTTCTTTTGTAATCTCTAGTTCAAGAGGACTTATAATCTTTGATACTAATAGTATCATTCTCGATCAGATGGACAATGAAATTTCTCTAATACGGGCTGTTATAATGAGTTCTACATACTCTTTTAATGTGTGAATCAGCCTTTTTTATTATTCTCATTGCTTCAGCAAAGTATCATTCACAAGACATAAATGAGCTATCATAGGTAGGGTAGTACTGGTTCACAGTTTCAAATCTTCTGCGGTCTGTTAAGGGTATGGCAAACCTAAAAACTGTGTGGATTTTTTGGTGCTGGATGGATCTCCAGCTCCATCAGAGAAAATGTGAAAGGGTTTCATTTTCTCAGATACTTCTCAACTTATTCTTAATATCCTTCTGTAAGCCCATAACTTGAAGGCTTCTAATTTGTTTGAAACATCTTTCTTTATTGTACAAACCTCCGACCCATAAAATTATACGGAGAACACATCTCAGAAGTCATATCTCTCAGAAGAAACTGCAATGTCCCTGCTGCAGAATACTTTTTTCAGTTTGTTGAAATTATATCTTACCTGTCCTATTCTTGTCTTAATATCTTCTGTGTACTTATTATTTTCGTTAATTATTGTACCCAGATATTTATATTTTTTAACATTTTTAATTTGTTCTCCATGTATTGTTATGTTTTCTTGGCGCTGATGGGCTTTTGTAATTACCATAAATTGTGTCTTTTTTGTTTATTTCACCGACTTCTAGTTCACTGACCACTCTGTCAACCATTTGTTGTAAATCCTCAAGACATTCCGCTAATAAAACAGTGTCGTCGGCAAACCGTATATTATTAAATGGTCAGCCATTTTCTTTTATTCCCATAGTTAGTTCTTCTAGTGCCTCCTGGATTATTTTCTCTAAATACAAATGGAACATAGTGGGAGGCAGGACACAGCCCTGCCTGACACCCCTCTCAATCTGTATTTCATTTAAAAATACGTTGTTATTTTTTACCAGAGCGATCTAATTATAATAGATAGCGCTAATGATTCTCTTATTTCTAAATCCAAATTGTGTGTTATGTCCTGCTCAAGTTTGTTGTGTATTCTCCGGTGTATAATTTTTTAAAATATTTTGAGCGTATGACTCTCTAAACTTTGGTCTAGGAATTCTTTTGCGAATGGTCTTGGAATTCTACTGAATGTTGATATCAGCCAATCTCTGGGAATGATTCCTGTACTGTATATTGTATTGAATAAGTCGACCAATATTCCAATTTGCTGTTCTTTCATTAACCGTATTATGTCTACAAGTAATTCGTCAGGACTTGTTGCTTTGTTGTTCTTTGTTCGCTTTATCGCCTCTAATACCTCATCTTCTGTTATGTCTGAGCCGTTGTCGAACTTTTCTTGCTCTAGTACTATATTAGTCTGTTCGTCTTTAAATAGCTCTTGAATATATTTCTGCAATGTTTTAAGCCATTCACCGTCGTCTATAATTATTTTGCAGTTTTTATCCGTTTATCTTGGATCTAAGTCTTCACATTTGCTACAGATGTCAATCTGAGGCATACCTAAGCTTAATTGATAAAAGTCAGTTAAGACAGCTTTATAAAATCCATACTTAACAGAGACATCTGGAAATTTTTTGAAAATATCAAATGCGTTATTTTTATATTTAGTTTTTCGTTCACTATTGACTTTTTTGAGGCTTTAGTCAGCATTAACTAGTTTTTGGTTTCTTCTTATCTTAATAGCTATTTGTTCTTTTTCTAAAAGCTGTACCAACTGACCAACTTGAAAATGTAGATTTACAAACAAAATAAACTCCTTTACTTGTTGTCACTCCGTACAAAAATGAGTGAATTGTCAATATGTCAATAAGGGACTAAAATAAGTGTCTTGAGCATTTTTGTTGTCTAATTCATAAAGTTTTGTAAAAATCTCGTCTCTACATTCACGAGGAATTGCAAGATTATTTTCAAGGTCACAGTCGTTTGGAAAATCCATAACCTTTAAGACAAGAGAGAAGTGGTTGGCCTAAGCGTGAACAGAAAAGAAAGTTGTAGGCGAGAAATAAAATAGGCTTTTTCTGGGTCCATTTCCAAATTAGATAGTTATTTTTTTGCTATCTTACAAGGTACTAAAACAGGCTGCGGCTAAATCATATGCTTTGTTTGTATATATTTCTGAGTTTTTGTAGTAGTAGCAAATCTAAAACAACAACAAAAACAATTTGTCTTGATTATACAAATCCATACTACATATAAAAAGCTTTAACGAATATATCACTTTTTTAGTTTTAACAGCGCTGCTAGGAGCCTTAATATGCTTTTCACTGATTTACTCAAGAGGAATAGTAATAACTATATTACTTATATCTCTATTTACATCGTGTGGAAACATATGTTCCAACGTCATACTGTCTGTGATTGTTGACGTTTTTCCAACTTCATTAAGGTAGGTTAGTTAATAGTAAAAAATATAATATATATTTTTTTAAAAACCTAACTCTAATAGTGCTTTTGATTTAATTACGTAAGAAAAAAAAAAATATAATTTGGTTAACACTTTAACGTAACTTAGATATGTTTTGGATTACTTCCTTAAATTTATGTTTTAAATAAACCAAATAAGTATGTAGGAAGCAGCAAGAAAGTTAATTAAACTCAGCCTGAGAGATTTGTACACCTGTTAAGATGACGTTCAGGTCTTTATAGCCAGATGTATTAATTACTCCACAGCGATTCAATACTCCACATCATTCATTTTCCTCCTATAACATTCTGATGTACAATAGTGGCACACTATAAGCAAAATGTTCTTCAAGTGAAAGTGCTGGGTACAAGAATTCCAACATAGTTTCTTAAACGATCAATGTAGGCTAGTGTTAGTCGATTTATTCTGATCTCTTCTTGTGACTTATCCACAAACCTGAATTGCTTGCTCGGGTCTCAAGTTTCCTCTGCGGCCTACGCTGAGTTCGGTAACTTGGTTCTCAAGGGTTTTGTTAATTTTTTTGTTGGCTTTCGCCGGTTTTTGTTAGTATTGTTTAATTTTTTGTTGACTGAAGCCATTTTTTATGCTTTTTGTTATTGTTTTGAAGGATGGGCCCACAGTGATTGTGGGTATATATGGTAATAGAGCTATGAGCCATCCTCTGATTTTGCATATTTAAGTTTAAGCCAGTATCTGCTGTTTGGGACGTTTGTGCTTTCATTGATGGAATGCATCATATCTCATTATTTCTCGTAATATCGAACTTGGACGATTTACGAGTTCTGCGAATTTAATCCTAGCCTTTTTTATTTTTTCACTATCGTATCGTTCACTCTGAGTTGTTCGAGTTTTTTGAACAGAAAACGTATCTGAGTACGTTGACTGCTACTCTGAGGCTACTCATAGAAATCTGTTTTTAACAGAAATCCATTTGGTAGCATAAAATAAAGATTCCAAGAATGTGGACAGTTAGCGACATCTTATCATAACATCCTTAAGTAGTTTAGTAGTAGTTTAATTATTTGTAATGAAAGATAGCTTATTTAACACTGTTAATACGAAGTGGTTTTATACCTGAATTAAAGAAAATGTTAATATAATAGGTCTTCATCATCATCATCTTGGTGCTACAGCCCTTAGAGGGCCTCGACCTTCTCGAGCTTTCTACGCCATTCTGTTCTGTCCCTTGTTTGAATTTTCCAGTTGCCGACTCCGATCTTCTCCGCATCTTGTGTTACCCCATCCATCCACCTCAGCTTTGGTCTACCCCGTCGTCTCATTTCCACAGGTTGCGCTGTTAGAATCTTTTTTATCATGTTCGATTCAGGGGCCCGGGCTACATGCCCTGCCCACTGCAGGCGGTTTCGCTTAATTATAGTGGTAATATCTTTACCACCAAACGTATGCTTGTAGATATTCTGCAGTTCGAAGTTATATCTACGCCTCCATATTCCGTTATCACAGACCGCTCCAAATATCTTGCGTAGCACCTTTCTTTCAAAAATGGATAGAGCGGATTCATCTGTTTTCGTTAGCGTCCATGCCTCTGATCCGTATGTGAGAACGGGGACTATCAGTGTTCTATACAGCCTTATAGGAGTTTTCTGAGACAGACGTTTGTTAGCTAAGTACTTTGATAGACCATAATAACACCTGTTTGCAATTATTATTCGCCTTTTTATTTCCTCAGATGTATTATTATTGGGGTTAACCGATGTCCCTAGATATATGAACTCATTGACTGCTTCGAAGTTTTGGTCATTGATGATTAAATTTGTGTCAACATTTCCAGCTCTTGTGTTTGTGTTAGTCGCTATGAATTTGGTTTTATTTTGATTTATATGTAACCCTATTCGTTCTGCTGCTGCTACTAGATCGGTTAGGATTTCCGTAGTTCTAGCCCTAGTTCTTGTTATAATGTCCACGTCGTCTGCATATGCTAGAATTTGGACTGATCTATTAAATATTGTTCCCCTGCTATCTAAATTAGCGTCTCGTACAACTTTTTCTAAGGCGACATTAAAAAGCTGACACGCTAGCGCATCTCCCTGCCTTAACCCCCTATGTATTTGAAATGGGGTTGACGAGTCGTTTTAAATTTTTACTGCTGATAGCATTTTCGCCATTGTCACTTTTATCAAACATATGAGTTTTTTTGGAATTTCTAACTCATTCATAGCGTTGTAAAGACTTGGTCTTAAGACACTGTCATATGCCGCTTTAAAATCGACAAAAATATGATACATATCTATGTTAAACTCTTGCGCTTTTTCGAGGATCTGTCGTAGTGTAAAGATCTGGTTAATGGTTGAACGTCCAGGCCTGAATCCTGCCTGATATTCCCCTAGAAACATTTCAGTATAAGGCTTTAATCTCTCGTGCAAAATATTTGATAATATCTTGTATGCTGTATTTAGGAGAGTTATTCCGCGGTAATTATTGCATTCCAGTTGGTTTCCCTTTTTGTGTAACGGGCAAATTAAGCCTAAGCTCCATTCTTCTGGCATTTGTTCCTCAGACCAAATTCTACAAACAATTTCTCGCATCACCTTGGTGAGCTGCTCTTCACCGTGCTTAAATAACTCTGCTGGGATGACATCGCTACCTGGGGACCTATGGTTCCTTAGTTTTTCTATAGATATTTTTACTTCATCTACCGAGGGGGGTTCCACGAGTTTCTCATTTCGGTATTCCAGCTCTATATTGTTAGTAGGTTCCCCTTCCAGCAACTCTCGAAAGTGATCTACCCATCGTAAAAGGATGTCCTCTTTGTTGGTAAGTAAGTTGCCTTCCTTATCATTACAATAGTTGATTCTTGGTTTAAATTCCTTTCTAATACTATTTATTTGATGGTAGAACTTTTTTGTTTCTCCGTGACTCATATGGCTTTCGAGCCGTTCTAACATGTCATTTTCCGAGTCTCGTTTCTTTTTTCGGTGTATGCGTTTTTCCTCTCTCCTTAAGTTTTTGTATCTATCTATTGTTGTTCTAGTTTTTCGTTGTTGCATGATCCTAAATGCCTCGTTCTTCTCATCTGTTATCTTTTTGCAGTCTTGGTCGAACCAGTCGTTTCTTTCTTGGGTTCGGGATATTCCCAATGTGCTTTCGGCTGCTAATTTCAGAGCCTCCTTGCAGTTGTTCCACATTTCCGTGCTTGACTGGTCGACTGCCCAGGTGTGTTCTAGGGTTTCTTTTATATGTGACTGGAACTGTTTCTCCTTGTTTTCATTTTTTAGCATATGTAAATTATATTTTACTTGTCTAGTGCCCCTTTCTTTCTTAGCATTGGAAATTCTTTGTCGTAACTTGGCCCCTACCATAAAATGATCTGAGTCAATATTTGCTCCTCTGTAACTTTTTACGTCCATTAGGTTTGTAAAGTGCCTTCTGTCAATTATAACATGGTCGATTTGATTTGTGGTGTGTCCATTTGGTGATATCTAAGTGGCTTTATGGATATTCTTGTGATTAAAACATGTACTTCCCACAATTAAATCTTTGGAAGCTGCCAGACTAATAAGCCTTAAACCATTGTCATTAGTAACGTCGTGAAGGCTATGTTTACCAATATAATCTTGGTAGTATATCTCTTTTCCTATCTGGGCGTTCATGTCTCCAATGATTATTTTAATATCGTTTTTGGCACAGTTATCATATGCTCTTTCGAGATCTTCGTAAAATAGATCTTTAATTTCTTCGTCTTTTTCCTCGGTTGGCGCGTGCACGTTGATCAGGCATATGTTGAAAAATTTTCCTTTTATTCGAAGGATGCATAACCGATCATTTATGGCTTTAAAACCAATAATAAACTTTAAGCCAATATAATAGGCCTATGTAAGTAAATATTTGGCCCGGTCAAAAACTCCCTTTGTCCCTTTCATACTGAAATATCCCTAGATCCGGAATAAACCCTAGACCTGGCAGCCCTGCGCTTGTATCCTCTTCTTATTTGTCAGCCAGACGTGTCCCCATGCGAGAGATGCGTATTTTATATAGGCAGTAAGATGCTATATATCAGTCTTATTTTAGTTTTTATTCTTAATTTGCCTTTTCTACCTTTGAGTCCTTTTATTGACACTTTTGCCATATTGGCTTTTTGGGGTGCGATGTCGATATGTTTTTTAAAAGTAAGTCCTTGATCCAATATAACTCCCAGGTATTTAGCACCATTTTTTCATTCAATGGGCTTGCTTTTCACCGTCAGTTTTTTCTTTTCAAAGATCATCACATACGTTTTCGCAGAGTCTATGGCGATTTTCCATTGCATGCTCCATTCTTCAATGATTTCCAATGCTGCTTATAGGTTATTAACTGCAATGTCTAACGTGTCTGTGCTTGGCCGCTATCGCTGTGTCGTCGGCATATTTTATACAGTAGTGGTGACAGGATCGTTCTCTGTGCTAGCAGCCTTTGGAGTTTGGAGTTCGAATAGAATTTGTCTTATCCGAAATATGCATCAGAATTGTACTGCATTTTGTTTTTACCACATCCTCTCTTTCCATGATGAGCACGAAAATCGGCAGCGGTTTCTTGTGTCGCTTCCCTAATATTATGTTTGATATCGCTAGAAGAGAAATTCTATGCCATATTCGTCAGATAGGCCGTCAAAGATGTCCTTCTAATACTAGTCTTGGTTTTATATTTTTCTCTAATGAGAAGGCAATTTACTAAATTTTGGTTAAGTTCAGTCATATTTACGGTCTGTAATTTTATTAAAGGCGGTTTGTAATACCTTGGTTGTTCTGGCTATTTTTCTGCTTAATTCTGACTACTGATGCTTTCGCCAGTGTCCATACCCTCTGTTGAAGGTATATCCTGTTTTGTGTTTTATTTTATTTTTAATTTTTCCTCGGTGATAGGACTATCTTCTGGCTTTTGAAACGATTTAGGAGCCTTTAATTCATCAAACTTAGTATTAAAGTAGTGAATAATGTTTAGTCTTGATTTCACTATAGTGTCCAGTATCTCTAATATTTTTTGCGGCAGTGTTGCGATCTTTTCCTCCTGCTCGAGTAACATCTTTTTTAATTTGGCCAATTAGGACTTTTTGTCCTTACTGCTGTCACTTTGGTGTAGGTGTTTTTTTTTGTTTTTTTTTTCGTACGATTTTCTCGTCGGCTGTCCTTTGCTTTGTCGGTCTTTTTCTACTTTTTTTAATTTTCTTGATTCAAGGTGTTTTAAATTCACTGCTTTTGATATATTTTAAAGTCATTTTGATCTAAGTTTGCATGTTGCAAACACATATTGAATACAGTGTATTTTTTTATTTGTAACTATTAATCAGCCGGATATAGATAGATGGTTTCGTTCACCACACCGCAGAGTGTATATCTGGAGGTCACCACAGGGTAATAAACAAAATTACAATAAAAATCAGATCGATTTTATTAACCTACCTAAGATTTAGATATTAAACTATAAGCGTTAGGACTTACCCTAAAGTAAATGTCCCATCAGACCATAACCTTATTTTCTCAAAAATGAAACTGAGGGTAAAAAAGGTAATAAAATGCAAAAGTTTTAAGATAAATACTTAGCTGCTTAACATAAATGAAATAAGTGCTGAGGCTTCGACTTAAAAAATAAAACAGTAGAAATGAAAAACACTGAGAATGTGAACATGTGGAGCAAAATCATAGATTCTGTTATGTAGATACAAAAAAAAAACTCTACAAAAGAAAGAAAAAAGCCGAACACCTTGGATGACTCAAGAAATACTGGATACAGATATGCTCTTCTTCAAGCCATCCTGCAAGAAAAAATATTTGGAAAACGAGGTCCAGGAAGAAGAAGAACATCTCGGTTAAAGAACCTCAGAATCTGGTGTAATACAACATCTGTGCAGATTTTTAGCGCTAGTGCAGATAAGATAAAGATTGCCATGATGATCGCTAACATTCGTAACGGATAGGCACATCAAGAATAAGAAGCACTTGGTTTGAAGTTCTCTCGTTATTTACGTAATTCATTTTTAGCATCTTCTTCTTCTTCGCGTGCCATATCAGAACTATTCAACGTTGGCGATCACCATTGCATACTCATTTTTAGCATACTCATTCTATATACACTAGTTTTGTCAACAACATAATTAATAAGCAATAAATATGTTTCAGAGCATTGGCATTGTCATCGGTAATGATGATAGCAAGAGTAGGTGTCGTTTCAGGCAACATTTTTTTCCCGATGCTTCTGGAGCAAGGGTGCCATCCACCCTTTTTAGTAGTGGCAGGTATTATCGGAGGTAAGATTTTTATAAATTAGTCTATATATACTGAATTAATCATTTATTGTATTTTAGTGGGAGGTATCTTGTGTTTCTTTTTGCCAAATACAGAAAATACTGCTTTAAAGTGACATGAAGAGATTGTGACATTATGAAAAAGACATTATTTGTACTATAGAATTACAATTTTTTTTTATAATAAAATAAATAATTAAGAATAAAACGTTTTTTTATTATTTCTTCTATAAAATTATTAAAATTATAGGCTAGATAACCTAGTTTAATACTCTTGAACAATTGAAAGTCTTGAATGATACGGGTTTTGGTCTTTCCTAATTATTTTTTTTAAGATTTTTAATTTTTAGTTTATTGTGTTTGGGTCACCGACTAGGTTTCACTGTTGACGTAAAATTTCGGAATATTATGTTCTATTTAATGATATATGGATATTAGTGATGGATTCGATCGTTACTTGATGGAAATTCATTTTACATAACAATTAAACACTAAAAATCTTCTTTTTAAAACTTCAACAAAATATATATTATCAACTAATATAATATAATTATATTATCAGTATTATCACTATAGCTGTTTCGACAAAGTGTCTTTCTTAAGTTATTCTTTTTAGTTCATTGTCTGGTTGGTCTTTTCTTTTGGTTGGATTTTTTCTTTGTTTACATTTTGTTGTCCTGCTTAGGTTGTTCATCTTTTCAGGCCGTGGTTTGTTTTTGTTGGGTTGGCTTTTGTCGCTGCAGTGGTTCTACTGGTGGTTCGCCTGGTTGGATGTGTCCTGCGGAGGAGGATCCTGGATAATCAGAGGCGAAAGGGTTGTTTAGCTAATATGGTCCTTTTCAGAATTTTATTAGCAAAAAATATATGGTTATAAATTGACTGAATTTTTTTAATAAGTAAATGAATTTTCAATCGCATAAGGGCAGCTGTGGCTGTATCCTCTGCAATAGACAGGTATTATTGTGCAATGGGATCAGGAAATCACAGAGAAAATAAGTGTCCACTAATCTCACTATACCTTTTTTGTGCGTAAAAAACGTCGGTATATATGCCACACGATTATTGTTAATTATACACGGGTGATTAACGAGAGAATTCAATGTTTCACGAAATAAATTAATGTAAACAGTAATTTAAAGGTGATTATTGTTTTCTATACAAGTTATTGCCTGACACAAAAAGAATACCTTCTTTAAACGATTACCTGTAATTACTGATAAGGCTTCACTAATGATGGTTTAAGTAGTTTTTATGCCACATTACAGCTTATGCCAATAATATAAATTAGAAATTGTTTGCATCTTCGATTTAGTTTCTAGATGTACATTGTTCACGTCTTACCTACCTACGTTTTTGGTGTCGATATTTTGTTATTTGCATTTAAAAATGACGTCGACAACAGGTTTTATCCCGGTAAAGTGTAGTTTTAAAGGTGCCTTCAGTCTAAGAGAGAAAAATATAATATTAAATGTACACGATGCACTTGTACATCAACGCCCTTTAAGTAATGTTCGTGAAATCGTTAACATGTGTTCAAATATGACAGGGGTTGGAGAATCAACAATTTATAGATTCCTAAAAGAAAATAAAGGAGGAACTGTTTCATCTCCCAAGAAGAGTGGAGGGAGTAAACCATTGGAAATTGAAGAAACAGATAAAAACATGATAAGACGCAGCGTCCACTCATTTTTTTTTAACAAAGAATTTCCAACATTGGACAAAATCCAAACATTAATTAGAGAAAACGAAGAGTTACCAATCATAAGCAACAAGAAATTATGGGAACTATTGAGAGAGATTGGATTTCGTTGAAAAAAGAATAGAAGAAAATCCGTTTTAATTGAAAAAGATTACATTGTATGTTGGAGACGAGATTATCTAAGAACTATTAAAAAGTACCGAGAAGAAGAAAAAAATTTTTTTATTTGGATGAGACTTGGCTAAATAAAGGTTATATTGTACCACATCTATGGGTTGATACAAATGTGAAAAGTTCCCGTCAGGCATTCATCGAAGGTGTATCTACTGGAATAAACAATGTTCCCGTTAAAAAAGGACGCAGACTCATAATAATCCATATTGGATTATTAGGTTTTGCCTCAAAATCAACCAAAGATTACCACGAGGACTGCTGACGTTTTTGAAGAATATTTTGAGCAAATGTTGGATTTAATTCCAAAAAATTCTGTCATAGTCCTGGATAATGCTAGTTATCATTCAAGACTAGCAGAAATATTGCCAACAACGGGATGGAAAAAAGGAGAGATAATCGAATGGTTGGATAAACACGCCATTGAGTACAAGGAGAATTCGACAAAAAAGAAATTATTACCTATTGTAAGGCAACATAAATCAGCTTATAAAAAATATATAAATGATGAAATGGCATTAAACCGTGATGTAATTATTTTACGTTTACCCCCATACCACTGTAATCTGAATAAGTTAGAAAATATATGGTCTCAAGTATAGGGAGAAGTCAGACACAACAACAAAACTTTTAAATTAAAAGACTTACAACAATTATTAGAACATTCCTTATCAAAAGTAACTCCAAAAAATTGGAAAAATGCTGTCATGCTCACAAGGAAGAAAATAAAATGTGGAATTTAGATAATATGACTGATGCAATGCTGGAACCGGTAATCATTAACATTGGAGTTGAAGATTCCTTAGATTCTGAAGAAAGCAGTAAATCTTAAATGGAGTTTGATTAAAATAATATTCATTTTTTACAAATCGGCCCCTGTTACGGCCACAAATTATTTTATATAACCAATAAAATACACATCTTACATTTCTTGCAAATTCATTAGTACCTGTTAATCTCCATCACTCCGACACAGGCAACTTTATTAAGGGATTAGTTACCCTCAAAACTATTGAATTCCATTCTGCTTCAACCTTTTTACTTGGTGGTCATACTCAATTTAAAATTGTTTTCCTATATACTTCTGTAAACTTGTTGACAAATATCTATTTTTCATTGAGTCACCCGTATCAACAGTTTAGGGATTTGCATAAATAATGTACTATCAATATGATGGAAATGGACTATGCCATTTAGGATTTTATATTGGCAATAAACTTTTAAGTGAAAATAAGTCAGTTGTGGTTGAGCGTGGAATTCCAAACTTAATAGAGATTTGTGTCGCGAGAGGGGATGGTGAGGATGTTTTAAAGGCTGTTGTTTAAAACGTATTAATTTTTGGGTATAATTTAGTGGCTGCTGGTGCAAAATACCATGGCAGTTGTTATTACAAATCTATTTTAAAACCTAATACTGGTGGTAAAATTGGCCATCCATAAGACACTAAACTCTTAGATAGTGGAAATTTTTCAATTCATAGAAACGAGTGATGATTGCTAGTTTTCGTTGAATAAATTAAATAATGTTTGTCATTGCTGCAGCAATTGTTCGTGAAGATACTCAATCATCTTACGTTTTCGATAATTCTATGTACCCACACCAGGTAGAATTTTCGAGAATAACGATATTGCCGAATCATTGATATATTAAAAAGAAGCGTCATAATTTGGATCATCTAAAGGTAGAATATTAGCAACTGAATCATGACTGCTGTTTGGCCTAGAACCTTTAAATCTAAACTACTGGTGGGTCTTTCATTTTTTTTTTCATTAGCGATTTGGTTCGAAACGTCTCATATAAATTGTCTCGTCTTTTGGTTTATGCGCATCTTACAGTGAAGCAATGCAAACTGCAATCAGCAGCAGTGTTCAGTTGTGCATCTTATATTTTACCACCAGAAACAGGCACATTAATTCAATACGTTGTAGACAATGCTGACATTAATTTAAATACTTTGAACGGTAGTGATACGATTCGTATAATGGGTATTATCCAAATTGTGACTCCCAAAAAATTAGTACTATAAGAAGAGCCGATGCCACGAGCAACTGAAGTTCTTTCAGCAAAAGACTTTGCAGCAAAGGCTCATGTATCTATACAGGTCCATCCAAATATTGTGAAACGACAAAGACCAACTGACACAACTTTTAACTTACAAGAACCACGTGTTCATGTTGAGTAAAGAAACATATTGAGTAACATACGTTATTGTGCTGATTGTAATTTTTCTTTGCTTTAAACAGTTCCGTCAGGTATCTTTCCAATTTTGTTGCTGATATGATATTGTATTCCTTCAATTCTGCCATTTCTTTTCGTTGGTTTCTTATGAATCTCCATATTTCTTTTTGTGTACCGTGAAAGTCGTTTTCTATCCTTTCTGTAAACAGTGTTCATTTTTTGTTCTTCTTACCAACTGCTTTATTTTATTTCGTATTCTTCTAAAGGTATCTCAGGATTCTAGAGTATTTGATGATTTTTACTTTGTGCAGGTCTCTCGTTCCATTTTACATTATTTTTATTGCTTATCTGAACCATTGTGTATTGTTGTAGTTTCTTTTCCTCCGTATGTCTTTGGTTTTTCCTAGAACTTCTGTTGCTGCTTCTTCAATATTGTTTTTAATTTTCTACCAGCTCGCGTTTATATTTTTGATGTCGTCTATTTGTTTTAGCAGTATCTTCTGTACCAGCCTCCTTTAGTACATTTCTCGTGTAGAGTCGTTCCAGTGATCCTACATTGATTTTTCCCTCAGTGTTTTTCTGTAGAAAATGTTTTTTTGTTTGCAAGAAACATGATATTAGGGAAAATGGAAAATAAACTATGTGGACTTAAAAGAATTATTAATTACTATTGATATTGTAGGTTTTTTAATACAGTTTATTTTTTTTTTAGTTATAGTTTTATTTGATGTTTTTTTATCTGTTTTTCTTCTTTGTACAATAGATATACCTTGGGTTTTGTCAAAAAAATCAATTGTATTTAAGATATTTTAGGTGAGTTGTTGGAATTGGACCCTCTATATTCAGGACGTTTTTGTATTTTTATTTATTGTTATATTTATTTCTAATTTCTTTTTGTTATAAACTTACGATTTTCTTTGCTATTTTTGCAAAGAATATATATTTTATGTTATATTATTTTATATTTATTATTATATAAATATATTTTATATATATTTTTGCAAAGAATATATATTTTAATAAGAATTTTTACACATTATTTCCAAGTAATAAGTCATCAGTTTAAATGTTGTGTCTACGAAATAGTTAATACATCCAAACTACAGTTTCTCCGTGACTGACGTCGTAGTTGATGATCCTGTTTCGAAATG